TCTCTAAAACTTTGAACAATTACGCAGTATTATTATTTTCAATTTCATTTTTTTTTCTGTTCAACATTATTTTATTGTATTCCGTTTTGGTATTTTCCAGTTAGATTTCCAGCATTACTTTTCCACTTTTCGTAGTATTTCGTAAGCAATAAAAAATCCACCATCAAAGCAGTATTTTTCCACATCAGAGAAATATTGCAACACTAGTTTGTTTCCAGACTTCTAGAATTTGCTTAGGATTACTTTAAATTTAATTCGAGTTATTTTTACTACAAGTCAATCCTTCCGACTTGTGGAGGACACGCATTGTTGGAATTAATCGCTTTGTTATTCACTTTCAGGTTCTTATTTTAATAAGTATAGTTTATTTAATTCCTATTATGCATGCGTTGTTAAATTTACATTTTAATTTTATGATATTCTGCAATTATATTATGTCTGGCTAGATTCTCTGATACCGGTATGTAAAACATAACCGAAAGGATCCGGTAATTAATTGACATTATTATTTTTACAAAAAATACTTTTCTGATTTTAATTTCCAATTGAATATTTAATTGTTTTTGTATGGAAGTAAGAGACAATCTAAGGTTAAAATCAACAGAGCGGAAGTTTGAGGTTTTAACCAGATAGTGGTTATTAAAATATTGATTTTAAAAACAGCAGGAGCACTTTAAAGTTAATTGGACCTTGTTCGTTTTCAAAAAGTACTTTTGAATTTTAAATGAAACAGCGGAAGCGCTCATTTCGAGCTTAACTGATATGATCTGATTCAATAGAACGAAAGTTTGAGACGAGGGTTTTTAAACGAATAGTTTCACCCAAACTGTGTTTTAATACTAAAAACAAATGCCAACGACTTACTAAATCCCTTAAATTGATAAAATACATACCGGTGTCCCGTCATTAATTATTAGATTTTAGTTGATTCCCGATCAAACCCAAGCACTCAAATTTTATAATTAACCTTAACTTTACATAGTAACCCTTAGATAACAGTAGTTATGACCATCCGTCCTTGTGGGTTCAATATCTTTTAAAACTATGCGATAGACTGTGCACTTGCCGTCATTACACCCGATAGACTCATAAAGTCGCGATCAAAGACCTTAAAATGATAAATCTATTTACTATTTATTATATAATTGTGAGAGTTATTTCATAGGCATATGTTATCAAAATAGTCACACCATTCTAAAAAACATATTCTATTGTGTTGTCTTTATCAAATTCATTCTTTCATATTTGTTCACTTGTGATCAATCTTAAACATAAATATATCTTTTCTCCATTTAGGTTAAGTCTGAACACTTCCTTTGCTATCTAATTTTTTCTTCTACTAAATCAGGTCAATTATATTTATATTCTTCTTTAATTTCCTCTTCTCCTAAATCTAATGGTTGATTTATCTTTTAATTTAAATAATTATTTCTGGGTTGCATCAGGCAGAAGACTTATTGAAAGTTCCACGAAAAATAAAATCCATATAATAATCTTTGAATCATCGTTAAATTTTCACAATTGAGATCTTTCTATAGAATAGCTTTTACATTTGTAATATATTAAAATAGAGTCCCAATATTTTATAAACAAAGTTATTATTAAGCAAAAAAAAATAAATCATAAAATAATAAGTTTATAAAGAAATCCATAAATATGAAAAATTGCCGGGTAAAGGGAGTGGCAACGTGATAGAAAGAAACCCTTTGAGCTTATTTTGTTGTGACCGCCAAATAGTTTTGCTGAAGAAACCCTTTTTCATATAGTTTCTCAAAATCAAAACCCATTCCTTTTTGCGGTGAAAGTTTTATATGATGTTGCGACAGAATCATCCAAAGAAGAAGCTTCAAGGAACCAGGTTTACGCTAACTAGATACGCTATCATCATCTTCAACTTACTTATTTTAATTCAAGCCTTAGGGTTTGTATGCTACCAAGTGTTGGTGCAGGTGTCCGACACCAACGCAGAAATGGACACGCCTTTTTTGAGAGTTGTTTGGATTGTGTTATTTAAGCTTATCTATTTGAATAAGACTGTTTGGCAGGGTTTATGAAAACTATACATCACATTTTCACTAGTTATTTTCAGCTGATTTCGACACTCTCCGTGACAGCTTAACAAATAGCTTACAGTTTAAATAATAACTGTTTGGTTTTAGTTTACTTTCTGTTATAGAGAATACCTTATACTAGTACATATAAGCATTTTATGACGAGCACTTAATTAAGTTGTTTATCCAAATAAGCCCTTATTTGGTCAAGGTTCAGCTTAATCAGGTTATGATTGTGGATTTTGATATTGAGTTAATATTCTTGACAAGGAACACCTCGTTGAATATATATGAAGGTTGGCTTAAGGTTCTATGATAATGAAATTGTCATATGTGCATTAAATAGAGGCCTATAATGTTTGACATCTGCAGTGCTGTTTTTGGGACCTATGTTTGGCCAGCTGTGGAATATGGATGAACAATGTACACAACTCGCCAAGGAATGGGCCCGCTACTCAAGAGAATGCAGAAAATATGAAAGATAGAAACTGGTAGTGAGTTCACTGATAAGGAGAGATTATCAGACACAGCTAAGAGGAACTCTGGTGTAGTCAGTAACAAAGTCAGGGAAATTCAAGTAAGTTTCATTCTATTTAAACTATAAAATTGTAATTCTTAAATTGAAAGAGTGCCGGGAAAATTATTTGATACAAGACTCCACCGACTCTGAAAATCGTTTTCTTTCTCTCCTTATTACGCTTTTTAACAGTCTTCCATCACATTTCATTTATAATGGAAGTACTTTGTTCAATCTGCTATAGAGATTAACTACATTTTCTTGTTTACAACTGTTATTTCACATATCTCATTATTGGCCATTTTATGATATTTGATTTGCAACATATAATCATGCAAACATACAAAAACCTTTCCAACCACATCTTTTCAATGATTAGTGTTATAACATGTCAAAAGTTGTGGGGAGTGCCTAGTACAAAGTAAGTCATTTAAAAAACCTTTACAACCACATCTTTTCAATCATCACTTTTATAACACGTTCCATCTTAATAGTATATATACTATACAAATTTATATCCATTAAGTCCCACATTGGATAGATCATCACACAAACAAGTCTTTATAAATGTTTTACATGATAGTTAGTTCGCCGAGCTGAGTAGCGTCAGCTTGTGACCCATGTGGGGGCACCAAGGTGATGGAACATGGCTAAGGCTTAACAGGATGGTCTGATGGTTGCACCATGCTGGCCTGCCCGCTCCAAGTTACGAGTTGACCCACGGGACTTGTGCGAAGGCATGGGTCTTGTGGGTCTTAGACAGGAGGGTATAGCGTGAGGCTGGTTTCACAGAGCAGCGAACACTTCCTACTCCTGACAGTGGAGGGATCACGGGCCGCTGCACCTCCGGTCCACAACACCTGGTGAGCCTAGCCCTTGAACCATCTCTTTTTTTGTTGGTTCATTAGGGGGTGCCAGCCACCAAGCAACAATAAGATTATTAGAACAGCCATGTTAATTTGTTGTTGTTTTCTAAATAGATTCCACCTGACATTCTATGCATTTTCTACACTTGGAGAAGCTCTAAATTCTGGTGAGCCTAGCCCTTGAACCATCTCTTTTTTTGTTGGTACCTTGCAAATGCAAGGGCATCCCCAGAATTCGACCCGTTATTGAAAAGATTCCATGAATCATTTATCAATGCCATCAAATCAATTTTTGGAATATTTATTAAGAAATAACCCCTTTGCGTCGACACAAGAAAACAACCGGTTTAGCTCTAAGGAATTGATTGAGCAATATCATTCCATCACATTTGATTTCACCGTGTATATTTTGTAGTTAATTATAGGTCTCAATTTTTTTGTTGCCACCTTTGCAGTATCTTGTTTTATTTACTAGTATGATATACATAAGAAACTTTATGATCAATAAAATTGTCCATTTCCATTAATACTATTAATGGCACCAATCACAGCTCAATAGTTTTTGCTTCCCTCTATTCTATTATATGTTGTTTCTTTGGTTCACTCTGACGCCAAGACATGAATAGGAGACTTGAAATTCAAGCCTCTTTTATATGGTCCATCCAATTTGCCTCCTGTAGTTTGAATAAAAATATATGTGCATGGTAATGTTACTTGGACATGGTTTGAGCATGTTATATTGTTTTCCTTGTATTATTTTTTGTTTATGTGATGCTTATTTATGTAATGTCACAGGGACTGTAATTTCCCATTCTCTCTTTGAGCTTTTAAGATTATGGAGTTTGTTATTGCATTAATATTTTTGAGAAGAATAACCTTTGAACACATATGACTTTAGTACTTTGAGATTAGTGATATAATATCATGCTCAAATAGTGCATTATAAGCTTTTCAAATAATCCATTTAGCTAATTATAATAATGCATTAGAAGCCTTTCAAATAATCTATTTAGCTTCTTATATGACTTTTCACCTATAGTCATGACTAATGGCTAATAATCACATTCATTATAGTGATGATTAATCTCAACTTTTTGAATATGACTTTGATACACTTTGAGATCAATGATATCATTTCATGCTCAAAGGAGGTAATTAGAGGCCTAATTTAGTGAATATTGTATGACCAAGTTATTGTACATTACATGAGGTGTCATTTTAATATATATGAACTTCAAAATTCTTTTTTAAAACGTAAAACAGTGTACTTTATGTTTGATCCATAATGTTTGAGACATGACTAAATCAAAATATTCAACATCCACAATGCTGTTTTTGGTTGAAACAAAGGTTCATGCGTTGAGAAAATTCCAAAAAGTTCAATAAATTCTGATTTGAAGATTTGTGATAAAGATCATTAGTCATAGAAGAATTCTCTTTGGTTATAAATATGTAATGCTCTTGGTCATTATTGTTATCTTCATCACTGCGGTTTTGATGTGTAGAAGCTTCAGGATTCAAAGGGCAAACAAGTTACAAAAATGTCAAAAGGAAGCAAGTAAAAAAATGGAAACTAGCATCTTTTCACAAGTGGATATTGATGCTGATGAAATAAGTCATTTGGACGAAGATAATTTAATCGGCCATGGTTCTCATGGAAAGGTTTATCGAATCACGCTGAAGAAAAACAGGATGGTTTGTGAAGCAATTAGAGAAAGGTGATGGTTGATGATTTTAGCTGCTTGATGAAGATTATGAGACAAAAATTGCTGATTTTGGTGTTGCTGAAAACTCTCAGACGGGTTTTAGCTTTTTTGCTGGTACACATGGTTATATTTCTCGAGGTATGAAATTGTAATATAGATTAGGACTGAAGAATTAATGGCATCTCATTGATATCCATTACTTTCCTGGATTTAATACTGAATTACATATAATCATGCAAAAATACAAAAGTACATCCAAAAATACAAAAAGTACAAAAATACATGCAAAAATACAAAAAATGTAATGTTGTGCTGGATTAAGTAAATATTTTCCTTTATTACTCCATTGCTTATTAGAATAAGAAATAAAGGATTGGTGACTTGTTTCTTGTAACGACATGATAGACATGACATTCTTATATGAAATTGTAATCTGCAACGCCTAGTTTGAGGGAAAAAATGCTTTAATTTTGAAGCATCCAATTTTCTAATTGTATATCTAGATTAGAATAATAAAAATAATGGTATCTTCCTGATAATCCTAATGTCCATTACTTTCTTGTTTAAATGCTGAAGGAATGCTAAGTACGAGGAAGCATTAGAGAGATTTGAGTCAGTTTTGGGAACAAAGCAGGAGCCCGATGAAGCAGCAGTGGCAAGTTATAATGTTGGTTGTTGTTACTCTAAGCTAAACCAGGTAGGTATATATGTTTGTTCACTTTACAAATTGTATGTGCTACATTCTACTACTTTGTCATTGGTTTTGGATATTCACTTTTTGAGTGTCCAGTTATCCCTCTATATATGTAGATTAAATCCCTCAACCACATTTTTCAATGATTAGTGTTATGACATGTCAAAAGTAGTTGGGGAGTACCGAGTACAAAGCAAGCCATTTAACAAACCTTTACAACCACATCTTTTCAATGATTAGTTTTATAACATGTTCCATCTAAATATTATATATACTATACGAATTTATATCCATTAAGTCCCACATTGGCTCGAACATCACACAAAAAAGTGTTCATAAATGTTTGACATGCTTGTTAGTTCGCCGAGCTGAGTAGCGCTAGCTTGTGACCCATGTGGGGGCACCAAGGTGATGGAACACGGCTAAGGCTTAATAGGTTGGTCTGTTGGTTGCACTATGCTGGCCTGCCCGCTCCAAGTTGCGAGTTGAGCCACAGGACTTGTGCGAAGGCACGGGTCTTGTGAGTCTTAGATAGGAGGGTATAGCGTGAGGCTGGTTTCACAGAGCAGCGAACACTTCCTACTCCTGACAGTGGAAGGATCACGGGCCGCTGCACCTCTAGCCCACAACACCTGGTGAGCCTAGCCTCTGAACCATCTCTTTTTGGTGGTGGGTGGGATTCATACATTTTTTTAGCTTAAATCTCCGATTTACAAACTCCATGGATCCTTACAGTTTGGCATAGTCCACAACACCACGGGCCGCTGCACCTCTAGCCCACAACACCTGGTGAGCCTAGCCTCTGAACCATCTCTTTTTGGTGGTGGGTGGGATTCATACATTTTTTAGCTTAAATCTCCGATTTACAAACACCATGGATCCTTACAGTTTGGCATAGTCCACAACACCACGGGCCGCTGCACCTCTAGCCTAGCCTCTGAACCATCTCTTTTTGGTGGTGGGTGGGATTCATACATTTTTTAGCTTAAATCTCCGATTTACAAACACCATGGATCCTTACAGTTTGGCATAGTCCACAACACCACGGGCCGCTGCACCTCTAGCCCACAACACCTGGTGAGCCTAGCCTCTGAACCATCTCTTTTTGGTGGTGGGTGGGATTCATACATTTTTTAGCTTAAATCTCCGATTTACAAACACCATGGATCCTTACAGTTTGGCATAGTCCAAAAAGGAAAAGCAAACAATACTCAACCTCTATTAAAAATTTCAGACATTAAGTCTCGTTACTACAAACTTGCTATTATATTAGAATACAAGTTGAAGATCACACTCTCATTTTTGGACTCTTAATTTTAAATTTTCACTTAGTGATTAAACATCAACATATAACTCACATTTGACAGCAGAAACTACTTTGTAAATTAGCTTGTTGGCTTATAATATTTTCTATACTTGTGCTCCTAATTGGTAGTTTGGTTGAAGTGAAAACTGTTTTCATGTTCACGTGTTTATCATTTGTCCAAACAAAATCATTTCTAACAATCTCTAGAAGCTGGTGATTTTTTTTTGCAACTTTTCTGTCTAAAATTTTGAAAATGACTTTGATACACTTTGAGGTTGTTTGGTCAAGTTATTGTCCTGTGTACATTTTGTATATATGAACTTCAAAATTCTATTTTGAAAAGTAAAACCGTGTGCTTTTGTTTGATCCATAATGATTAAGTCAAAATGTTCAACATCAACAATGTACACCATATTTTGGGACTGAATCAAAATGCTTGAGATATGATAAAAATTTCCGATGCAAAACTGTCTTAAGGAAAAAAGAATTGAGGGAAAATGATTTGAGAGAAGGCTATTATGCGAGTAAAACTACAAGACTCAAAAAAATGTTTTTTTCTTGAATTGTTATTTCACATATGCCATTATTGTGCATTTTTATGAAATTTAGTTTGCAATTGAAACATATAACCATGCATACCTACAAAAATCATAGTGCTGGATTTGGTTAATCATTTCTTTTATTACTTAATTGTTTATTAAAATAAGGATTAAAGGATTGGTGTCTTTGTCCTAATAAAGACAAGATAGACATGGCAAAAACAAAACATTTTCCATCAGAAATTACAATCTGCAACACCTAGTTTGGGAGGAAAAATCAGAGCCTGATGAAGCAGCAGTGGCAAGTTATAATTTTGCTTGTTGTTACTCTAAAGCTAAACCACGTCCGTTGGAAACTAATCATACTGAGACTAAGTGGTTTACCTTAATATCAAACAACTGGTCCAAAATTTGCACAGAAACCAAACTTTATTGGCCAACACTATTAAAAATATAAAAAAAACCATTAAAATTATGATGTAAAAAGTATTTGAAGATTGGAATAAGAGGGGGCTGTAAAAAGTACTTGAAGATTGGAATAAGAGGGGGCCGCGCGAACGCAGGCCCCCATTGCAACAAATTATGATGTAGGCTCCACCACTTGGGTAGACCTTAGGTTAGCACCCCTCCTAAGTGCAATGGAGGTCACTCTCCTAGGCCATGATCCTTCATGATCAACCATTGACCCCATCCAGGTAAGTAAGTTGTGATGAAGGTATTCGAGTTCTTTTATACTCTTGCTTCTCTCAATACCTTTCACCTTCTTTCGACGTGGGACTCAACTACCCGTAGGCAAAGTATTTCCCAACTTGTGTAAGATTGATCGAAAAAAGGGTGCAAGTTGCTAGTGATTGTCAGTGGTCTAAATTGGAGACAGCAGAGCAGGTGCTGCTGCAGTGTAATAAGAGCATTTAGACTGCTGCTAGGTAGGAACATTGGAGAGAAAATCTGTCACATGTCAAAGGAGAAAGGGAGAGTATCTTTGCTATGATATTATGGAGTTTGTGGAAGAGTAGGAACTAATCAACTACCAGTAAGCAATGTATTTCCTAGGCCTTTGATAGATCTTGAGGACATCTTCCCCGGCGTTCCAACTATTGCTCAATCGCTTTTTATATCCACTACTTTGTTATATGTTGGATACTAATATAGTCTGCTTCTAATCATTCCTTTCAAGTTTGACATTATGCTTCCAAAAACTCAATCAAAAATATCAGAAAGTTATGAGTTGAAAATACTCTAGAGTCCATGGTACTTACAAATCAATATACCCTATTGATTACTCGAAAACTCGAAGAAATTAAAGATTGGATATGACTAGCAAGGAGGATATGTACCCTTGATAATCACCTAAATTAGGGAAGGATTAAAGATCAAGAAATACTGCCTAGTTCGTTTTTTAGTTAGTACTTGAAACGCAGAAGGTAGGTTTCAGCTTTGCTTTCTATTTTTTATTAGTTAGCTTGTATAACATTATGAGCAGTACTATAACATTCCCATTCCTTTATGTCTCCATTAGGAAGTGGTTCATTTTGACTGAGTATTATAACACAATATAGCACACAGTTTTCTCATTCCATTTCTGCTATTAATTAAGATCCGTGAAAATTGAGTATCTTCCTCTCTTCAATTCCTTTTTCTTGTGTGAATTTGTTTGATATAGTTTCTCTCGTTTTCTTTGTTCCAGTGAAATCTTGTGTCGACATTCTGTTTTAGATCGAGTTTACGACTATCTCCTTGACATGATTTCTTGTTCAAGTTTTTTTCCTAATTATAGCTTGTTCCAGTGAAATATTGTGTCGACATTCTGTTTAAGAAAACATATGCATAGAAACAGGATCAAAAAATAATATAACATTAAAGAAAATATTGTGGATCTAGTAAGAAGGACATAAATTTGAACTAGGTTAGGTGGGGTGTGCCAGGCTATTGCAACAGTGCAACGCAAAAGCGACACTTAAGAGACCCAATAGCAAGCCATTGTAGTGGTCTCTCCCCCTCAAGAATTAAATTTAATATCGTGTGGACCATTGGCCCACATATCAGATATTAAACTGATAAGAACAGATACTACACTTGATCTTAGCCAAAAGGCCGAGAAAGGTATGAATTTAATGTCATGCTTGTTGTCTTTTTTATATCTTACATATTTTTTCTTCTTTGATAACTCAACGATGTGGTACTTTAATACTATACCTTGGAGTTTGCTCAATACTTTTGTAATTTGCTTTTATGTAACAGTAATTAAACCAAGAGGAAGACTGTCTCGTTCATATACATTTTCTGTTTAAAGTGATTTTGTTCATGCAAAGAAGTGGATCTCATTTTTTGCAATAACAGTATTAAATAGGTAACAACTCTTGTCGTCTTTTTTGGTTTAATTAATAATTTTGAAATATAACATTTGTTAGAACAAGACCGAATCTAGAGTTTCCTTAAATGCCTCAAAACTAAAGCAGTAAAATCCCGGCAAAAGTTGAACTGTTTCCCTAATTAAGTTCAATTTAACAAAAACCAAGTCCTAAGTCCTTAAATAAGTGGCGAATGAAAATTATTAGGCGGTTTAGTAAACATAGTTTTGACATTTGTGCATATCATTATGTATAACGTTGTATATATACTCACACACCAGAAGTCATTCTTTTTACTAATGAATGAACATTTATCACAATCTCTGTTTTTTGTATACCTTCATCATTTTATGAGAACAATTGTCAAATACACATATTGAATTAAACTCTATAATGGAGTTTGGGAATGAATATTGTACTTGAGCTAAGATCCTAATTTATTCTATGTATGTCTGAAAACTAAATCACAATATTATGCTATCATATCATCACATAAAATATTATACCGACAAAGTTTGAACATTTGAAGTACAATCAGTTTGGCATGTTTGTTACTAATCCTCTTACCATTATTTCCTTCATTTTTATCTTGCCCTTGACATTTCATAATAGAAATATATTCTTTAATAAACATGGCAGAAACAACATGTTTTTTTTATGAAATGTTAATCTGCGTTTTGTATCTTGGAATGTTATTTTCCTATACTTTCAGTCAACTGCCACTTGATTAAATCCTTGCATGCCTACTATGGTTGCAATATCGGCTGTAACATTTTTGGATTAGTGTTGTAACATGTTAAAACTAGTTTGGGAGTGCTCAGGACAAAGTAAGCCATTTAAGAAACCATGTGCCAACTTAATACTATGCAAATTTATATCCATTAAATTCCGCATTGGCTAGAATATCACACATGGTTACCGAGCTGAGTAGCGCTAGCTTGTGAATTGAAGGTT